CAGTAGTCTTCGTACCACTAATGAGAATGTGCAGAAGGTGACGTGGACTTGTGCGGGAGATTGGAGAAGTCCAAGCAAGCGTACGAGGCGGCAGTCAAACATGCGGAGAGGTTGATTACAACTGCAGGGAAACGGAAGCAGATGCATGTTGAGGAGCTTGCTAAGGTTGAAGCACAAAGAGCCGAAGAAGCTTGTATTGCCAAAGATCTTCGTGGGAAGATTGCAGAGGCGAAGACGGCAGAAGAAGAACTTCGCAGAAAGATTGCGGAGCTCACGAATGATCGTGAGAAGGAATTCACACGCGCAGAGGAGCTTACGACGAGTCTGGCGAAGTAAATTTGGAAGCATGAAAGGAAATTGACGGATTGAGCCAAGAAATTGGCAGATTGTGAGTCGGCCAAATCTTCAGAGGTCGAATGTAGATTAAAGGTCGAATCGAAACAACGACGGTTACAAGAGTAATTGAGGAAGGCTGCCATGAGATTGGAAGAGTTGCAGCGGAGAATTGAGAAGGCAGAGGCAGCATACCGTCACTTGCGGGATGAGACGACCGATGAGATGAGATTGCGAGTTGAGAAGTGTCTACGGGGATTCACATTGTGGGAATGGCAATCGGTTAAGTGGTTGAAGCTAGATTCACTTGAGCAACGTTTGGTGAGTGCAAAGATCAGCGGATCCGCAGGACACAAGCAATTAGTAGAGTTAGTTAATTCTTTCTCTTCAGGATTAGAAGAGGCACGGGAGAACATAGAGATAGAGATTCTAAACGTTTTGCGTAGATTAGGAGCAGACGTAAGCTTAGACGACGCTGTAATCGCTACGTCGGATGGCACCGCACCTGAGAGTAGTTCAACTCAGGCGGTTGAGATTCCTAGGTCACCATTGGGAATAAAGAGGCCCAAGGCTCTTTCCTTGGAGGGCTTTTCTGTCAATTGGTTTGTTTCAAATGTAAACCTGCATTCACTGTGTGTTTGTGTGCTGGTGTGTGATCCAGACATTGAGCACAGTGGGCTTCTATTTGACAAAGTTACCGCATCGGGAGTTGTGAGTGTCCAGCCTGAATGTTCTTAGTAGCCGGAGGCTCTTCGGGATTTAAGCAAATTCGGGTCTGGGTATTCGGGCCAGTAAGACGGATGTATGCAATTTAGAGAAGTTTTCCCCCTTAAATCTGAGTGTAGGGTCGTAGGTGATTCCCACAGGTGTTGATTGGACAAGTTTCAAGTTCTGAGGATTATTATACTCTGCTCTTTGGGTCCTCGGACATAATTGAGCAGTGTCTTCTGGGAGTGACATTGGCCTAAGAAGTAAAACTCGTCAATAGAATGTTAATACGTGACAAATCGTGACTTTTAGTGTTGTTTCTGTCCTCGTGGGATCGGATCTGTACCATTATGCTCTGTTTTGGTATTTGTCTGTCATTACACCGTTAAAGGCTCTAAATTTCATCACATATAATTGTTGAACAATTTGTACACCCACTTGAAGCTGATAACCTTCAAGATGAAAGTTTATGGTACAAAGATCCAATATCACATTGACGCTTTTGGTGTTCTTATGATTGATCTTCAAAATCTTGACAAGGAGATTATAAATGAGATGAAGTCTTTTGGTGATCTTATGATTGATCTTCAGAATCTTGTCAAGGAGATTATAGATGAGATGAAGTCTTTTCACTTTGCTGATGGCATTGTATCATATGTAATCACGTTTTTTGCTTCATCTTGATAGACAAACAATTACTTACAACAAGATTGTAGGTTCTCTTTTGACAGATGTCGTTTAGTAGAAATTTATTTTATTATCCCGCCTATTGAAATCTTTCAAAACGGCATTCAACGCGATTTGAGGTCGATCACGTTCAAGTAACAATAGGAATGAAAATCTTGTTGGATTCAAAGGAAGATCCAAGTTCAATGGTAAGACTCTTGAGTAGAAGATGGTATTGTGTTGGCGATATGATGAGTGGCCATGTCAAAAAAGAATGCCAGATGAAGAAGATAAATGAGACAAATACTTCTCAGTTGGCAAATGTGACGCAACATTTTGACCTTGAGTAGTATGAATGGTTGGAGGATGATCTATGATGTGAGAAGTATACCCTATGCAATTCACCAAAGATTATCGGTGAGCCATGAATTATGTTTAATGCTTTATCTTATCACATATGTTACATTGAAGAGTTTCTTTGTATTTTTTTCAAGATCAAATAGATCAATTCTTATGGGGAATGATCAAGCATGTAGGATTGAAGATGTTGAATCTGTAAAAATTTGCTTGATGGTGTCAAACGAACAGTGATCCAAGTTAAGTTTATTCTTTACATGAGAAACAACTTAATTTCTCTTGATATGCTAGACTCACTAGGCCTAGAATGAAACTCTAAGAATGATATGTTAGACGTTAGATCACGTGATAAGATTATACTTTGAGGACACAAGCACTATAATCAATACATGCTAGAGTACAACAATATCTGTGAAAAAGTACACTTTATCCAATCTTCAGTTGTGATGTCTCATGTATGACATTCTAGGCTAGAACACATGAGTGACAAGTACATGTACCTCCTTGACAAGAGGAAGTTGTTATATGGTTAGGGTAAAGTTAATTTTGCATTTTGCAAACTTTTTATCATGGGTAACTAGCATAGACAAGTCTTTGTGTTGGAACTCATAGTTCAAAGGAGTTATGTGAGTATATACATAGAGACGCGTGCAAACCTTATTCTCTAAAAAGTTGTACTATGTATCAAGATCAAGATGTATCTTGATGATTACTCAAGATATGTGTGGGTTTATTTACTCACACACAAGTCTAAAGTGTTTCCAACTTTCAAAAGTTGACAAAACCAAGTTGAGAGTATGGTTAAAGAAAAAAATTAATAATGCTAATTAGCAAGATAAAATAAAATAATTATTAATATTATTTCCTATATTGATTAATATGAACACAGGAAATAATTCGTAAAATTTATATTTCTTTTATCTTAATATATAGTATTTACTATTTTATATTTACATCTTAAAATTGTTGACAATCGTATACTCCAAGAGCAACTGCAATTCAAAGTAAGTTCAAAATTTTATGTTATTATGATTATCTGATCTTCTAGTCTAAATGTGTCTTTGTCACAATTCCGGTACAGTATATTATGACTAAGCTTATGTTCTACTTTGATGTAGGCTGTGAAAATCAATGAGATGCAAAACACTATCCATTCCTTTCGTTCATAGAGAAAAAGGTCCACGGTCACAAGAACGGCGAGAGCCTAATAAAGAACACTGAGAAAACATCTAATTTACTTTATTTCTTAGACTAATCGCCCTAATACACCAAAAAATCTACGTATGCTAATAATTTTCATTGAGCAAGTTATAAAATCCAAGGAAAAAGCTTGTGCTTATAGTGCATTATTTGCTGACTTGAACAAATTTAACTTATCCATATCAAAATACACTTACAATTCACCAATATGCATTGATTGCAACACATTTGTAAGATGTAACTTCAACTTAGAAAAAAAAAATGTGAGATGGAGTTAACATGTAAAGTGGAAATTATATATTGAATATGATATACAATATTTGCACTTGATCTCACTCTTATAAGACCTTTGAGTTCAAGACCTAGTTCATACTACAAGCTATATGATTTCGGCCTATTGCAGATTGTTGTGAATTTTTTTACTTTTGATTCACTGTGATTGAAGAATTTTTATTAGAAATAATGAACAGAGTATAGGAATTCAAAACTTACATTCAATTGCAGATGAATAATTGTTCAGAATGAAGTGAATTATGATATAAGGGATGAATTCTTCACGCTTTTCATCTAAGAAGCTAGCCTGATGTAAGTTAGAAGACAATTGCATCATTGTTGATATAAATAAACGGTGTTAAGGTCCAATCCGTCCACGCTGAATGTTCAGTTTGAAGCCTTCAAACGAGACTTAATACGTCAAAAATTTCACAGGTATTTCATACTCAGACAGAAGTCACGGGAACGGTAAAAATTCACAAGAAGAGACAAACGCGCTAAAAGTTCATAGTTCACCCAGGGGCTACATCCATTAGCCTATGGATGGAACTAATGGATGTAGATGAAGTCAACTCACTAATGTATGAATGCATAGCATCAGTATACAAACGACGGTCGGGGAGTTTAAATACTAAAGAGTCTACCAAAAAGAGATACTAACATTAGCTCGTTACTCTAAATTCAAAGTTAATACCAACAATATTTCATTTAATTCATGTTGAAAAAATGATAATCTTTGTAATCTATATAATTATTCCGTAAAATTTCATAAAAACAACTTAACACAAAATATTTTTTATAACGAGAATTATCTAGAACTAAATCATACCTATGATATAATAAAATAAATAGTGAATTGAAAATATTATTAACAAATTATACTTGTGTTCCCATGCAAAATCAACAGAGTAATATATTAGTTTTTGAAATTTTCCAAAATAATAACTTTGGCCACTACATTAATTGAATTGAATTTATCGTGTATTTTAATTAATTCAAATTTTTAATTCATACTCTACCTGTGTGATAAATTGATATCACTCACAATGTATTTCATTTTGCTCTTCATTTTTTTATTCATAACAACAAATAAAACATTCTAATTATCACAATAAAAATTGATTATATATTTTTTCAAAAACATTTCTATGAAAAATTTATGTAACTAAATAATTTTCTTTGCTACTTTTGTTGAGGTCATTTTCAATAATAAATACAAACACAAACAAATACAACCACCATGTTGTTGAAAATATTTCTACAAAAGTGTTTGTTGTTTCTAGAGGAATTTTCTAATTAATAAAATTTTTCCTAATTTTATGTAACATTTTGGACTTTATAGATTGGAAAAGATATATATTTCCAATCTATAAACTCAAAGTCCATAGATAGGAAAAGAAGTTCACGTTCTTCAAGACGTTTAGAAGATTATCTTCTGAGCGTTCTGAAGATCTTAAGATTTCCAAATTCGAAAACTGCATAAAATTACCAGGCAATTCTTGGATGCCAAGCACATTACGAAACTTCAGATTTCGCAGTCCATCGGGACGACAGAAGCTGTCAGGCGGTTCTGCCATATTAAGCACATCTATTATTAACTGCAGTTTTAGCTGGGACAGATTTCTGATACCCTCAGGCAACCTTTGAAGGTTGTGCAGTGAATACATGATCAAAGTCTCAAGTCGGGGGAGACGGCAGAAGCTCTCAGGCAGTTCTGAGATTTTATGCGCATGTCCTATTGACAGCGTTTCTAGCTGGGATAGATTTCCGAAACCCTCAGGCAACCTTTGAAGGTTGTGCAGTGAACACATGATTAAAGTATCCAGGCGGGGGAGATGGCAGAAGCTCTCAGGCAGTTCTGAGATATTATGCGCATCTATTATTGCCAGCGTTTCTAGCCGGGACAGATTTCCGAAACCCTCAGGCAACCTTTGAAGGTTGTGCAGTGAATACATGATCAAAGTCTCCAGAAGGGGGAGCTGGCCGAACGAATCCGGCAATGCTCTAAACTTACAGTCATAGAGTTTCAAAGACCGCAACTCTGAGAGCCGTCCAAAAGATTTGGGGAGTGAATGAAGTTTCTTGCAACTGCTGAATATCAGATGACGAAGCTTGGGAAGTTGTCCGAAAGTTTCGGGAAGACTTTCGAAGAGACACGCTTCGAATTTCAGGAATTCAAGGTTTTGCAACTCGTTGACGAGTGTTGGCAAACATGTGAGCGGTGCCTTCAAGTTCAGAACAGCTAAACATTCACGACCTCGAACTACTAGGTCATGAAGACTATTCACCTTTCCACGCAGTCGAAGAAGTACGACGGTTTTTGAAAGCTCGCCACCTACTTCATCCAACATCAACTCCTTCTCGGAATCCAAATATCGAAGCTTCTTCATCTGGCCAATACTTTTCAAGTTGAGGGTCATTGAATCTTCAAGTCGAAGTGCTATAACCTCCTGCATCAAAACACCCAGGGCTTAGTTCACATCCGAGTCCATTATCTAAACTTGACCTGGAAGATTTATAGCATTTCATATGTTCAGGTACTTCGAGTTTTCCGGTTGACAATCAATGATATCCTTTATCGGAAAGGCAAAATTGAGTTAAGAGGAGGCTGGTTGGGAAGCTTGTGGCCGGAATGCCAACAAGATGCTATGTGGCAACTATATTACTTGATGAATCCCTCACAATCAAGATTAAGAGAACATGTGCTATTAATGACATAATGAAAAGAAAGTGTTTTGATCCTTGAAGAGAAATTGTTGGATTCGCAAAATCAGTTCATTGATTGTTTCCGAGGTGCTTTGAATTACATTTCTACATGAGGCTTTGACTCTATAAAAATATATTGCTCATTGACGGTGAAATGCTTTGAAAGACACTTCTGCTAGGAAGGCAGAGGACATACTCAGAAAGTTTTTAGAGTTCGAGAGAGCACAACGTTAAATTACAGGAAAGGCAATGAATCTTTGAAACTACCGTTTAACAGAAGTCGAGAAAAAATGTCAGCGAAATACAAAAACCGACCTACACATACCATGCCTAAAGTGTTATAAAATTCAATTGTCTTCATCAACAACCGATATTTGACATGTCTAAGCACTCTAGAGATAAAATTGAATCTTCAAAGTCTAACTTTTGGACATAATCTCATACCTCAAACTCCTTAGCAGTGTTCAATGACGTCGAGCGAACATCCTTCTTAATCCAAGTTCTACACATGCGATTATCTCCCCATGCCATAGCCAATTTCATTCCCAAAGACCTCATTTGCTCATGCATTTGTATACTGTCATTTTCGTTTACATTGTAGACGAGACACTTTTCTACTAGAGTCTTCCATCGTACATCTTCGAGTCCATACGCCAGCAAGATTTTGCTTCTCGCAAATTCCAAGTGGAATTGTTGAAGAAAGTTGCTGCATCAAGGAATATTTCTTTCTCCTTCGGTTTCAAAGAGTTATAGCTCACTTGCAATTTCGCCCACAACCGTTCATCCCAATCGTGTACAACTTCCGCTGCATCCAGGGCGTCGTGACACTGCCTCCATATGTTTACATTGTCTTCTGTCTTCAGATAACTGCCCATCACTTCCATCACTTCCATTACTTCCATCACTTCCATCACTTCCATTACTTCCATCACTTCCAGATATCCATTCTCTCACTGATGGATCCGGTTGGGTCGAAGAAGGAAATGCATGACTCATAAATAACTGTCTGGACCTATCGATATCCAAAAAATCCACCATGTACACGCTTGCATCAATCTCTTTATCTCCAGAAGTCACAGTACAATTGTTCAAATATTTCGAATTTCGAGAAGTAACAATGTAACGACTGTCTGCAAAATTGTTCTTCAAAGAGATGGTCTTGAGAAGATCAACATGGAGATGATTGTGAATGTCATCCAAAACAAGGAGAAGCCTTTTCTGCTTCAAATCATTCAAATTCCACACTTCCTCTTTTCCACTTCTTCTTCTTGTAACTTTTAAGCCATGCTCATGCATTGACGAATACACTTTGCCTTAAATCTTCATTGATATCTCCTTTCGGCAACTGAAGGAAACAAGTATATTCGAACGCACCACACAGCTGATTAAACAACAGCTTCGCGAGAGTAGTTTTCCCTACACCGCCCATGCCGAGAAGAGCTACTGCTGGATGTGTGAGTAAGAAGTCTAGCACCTTTACGAAGACTGGAGAATGTAAGATTGCTAACCTCGGCACCTCAAATTGCAATGGCTCCTTCTGCTTCTCAGGAAATCTCGTTTTCATCTCCTCACGATGTCTCCTTTTCATCTGCTTTATATCCTGTATGTAGCTAAACGCAGTTTAGATTTGTAGGCCAAGAAGAATCTTACCCAACTAGAATAGCCTCCTGCTTGACAAGCACAATCTGAAATTTTGTAGACAATTTTCTAGTTCTTGATGGACCAACTAAATTCCTCTAGTTTCTTGAACCTATTTTCTCTCCCATACAACTAAAAGACAGTATCATGGGCTAATTTTTGCCTTTCTTGAGGAAAAATACAAACTGCCAAGAAGGAGGACATGTTCGTGTGAACAACCTCAATGAAGGATGTCAACCGTATGTAAGTATTTGAAAATCTGCTCTCGGGCTGGCAAAGAGAAAAATGATCCTCGATCTCCATAGTAAAATCCCCATACCGAGCTGAAGCCTCGCATACAATGAGCTCACTTTGAAACTCCCCTTCCTATACTTCGGAAACAGGTTGGAACAAACTACTGGTCAGACTCTTCAATTGAAATTCTTCTATGGTGGATGGATTTCCAGAAAATAAAACTGGAATTTAGACAAGTTCATGAACCCCATCAGGATCTTTTGTAAATGATATCCGAACAATCTTAAAAAAGTACTAGGTTCCGAACCATGTTCTGTTGATGCAGAATTGATGCTTCTTTCAGCAGGTTAAAAGCAAGACGAGTAAAATAAAGAACAAACATGTCACATCGTGAACGCAAATCAATCTCACACTCACTGGCGTCAAAATCGTAGTAAGTCTCGATTCTCCAACTGCAGCAATTCTCCACTTATGCATCAGACGTAAAGCATCAAACCATTCATGAAGGCGAGCTGATTCTGCGCAAAGCACCTTCACCATCTCCAATAGAGGGCTGGCATCTCTCAGGTGTATTCGATTCGGATTAGATAAAAATGAAGATCCGCGATGGGGCGTTCCATAGAAGAAAACTCCTCTGACATAGTGCAGAAATTCATCATCTTCTCCCCTCAAGGTTTGCCTCGTGTGCGCCTCGTAGCACAATTGTTTGATCACCAAACCTCCATAACTGTGACCGACAAGTATAACTGGATGCTGTCCCACTTTTGCAATTCTAAGATTTGCCATCAAACTTTCGGCTGTGTTGTAGAGGTCTAATCTTCCATGCTCTGCTGATGTCTTGATATAAGCATCGTAATTGACAGAGAGAATCCGAGCCTTCGGAAACACTTCCGGGAGCCAGGTCATCGGCCATACTTCCTTCTGAGAACCGCGTGACCTCCATGTCGTGATATAAGCATCAGAGGTGTGTGACAATTGTAGGCCATGGAAGAATACAATGTCCAGCGATGACTCAACTCCTGGCTTGTAAAGTTCGTATATAGAGTCGGTTAATCGATTGACCTGATGCAGATCAGCAATCAAACAACGTCAACCGATCTTACTTAATGCAGCTCTGAGATTAGATTTCAAAAAATAATTGGAAAAAGCGCAAACACTTTCCAGAACTGCTATACTATATTTTGCATAGACAATTGTGATTTCCTTACCCTTAGCGCGGCAGTGGCTGAATCCGCAGGGGGCAGAGACACTGCATTTTCTTTGAGTGATCGTCGAAATCGTAATTTGCGTGAACTCCCCATCGTTCTAGAAGAACGAAAGAGAGTATGTGATAAATTTACTTCTTCTCCTCGTCAGTAAACAAGCTAACTCGTCAGCTAACATAAGTGCACAAAAGTAACGATGCTCAGAACGATGCTTTGTGTTGTCGGCGACAACACAAAGCTCATTTCTGATCGCTTCCAGATTTCGATTGAGCGACAACTGGTCGCTCAATCGAAATCCTCAATCCCTCCAGACCATCTCATATGTGCAATCAGAAAGAACCTCCTCTGCTAGCCGATTACGAGATTCCTCCTTGTGTGGCTGGGTTGCTGAGTTTCCTGGGGAAGCCTCTTGGCCCACTGTTACGCACTGTGTAGGTCACAAAGACGAGTGAGCCTCATGAGCAGGCCTCTCTTAATAGGCAACTTTCGTATGTTCAGTATTATTCGGTAAGCGATACAGCTCGTTGTCATTCAGTATCTCCGATGAGGGTCTTCGGAAGTCCCGAAAAGGCCTTTGGACCACTTCATCTTGGACATCTTAAGTCCTTGGATTCAATCAGAAGACGTCTGCTGCAACAAAAAGCCCGCAAATCTCGTTAAAACGAAGCTACAATCAGGGAGCCACGTCCGAAAGTATGTGGTCCTTGTGAAATGTCGACGGAGTCAGTAAGATTAAGACTCCTTTGCAAGTAACTGGTGTTCTCTGGTGGCTTTGACGAAAGATGCTCAGCTGCCCTCAACCTTGATGTTCTAAAAAATGGAAGGCGAAATTGTCGGTAAGGCTCAGGAAGAGAGGATCCTTACCGGGTGAATAGACAGGGAGGCAACAGTCGAAGCCAAATAAGTTCCCCAATTTCGGATGGCGCAGCTGATTTTGTGGAATTGGTCAAAAGATTCTCAGCACAAGAGCGTTCTGCACAGCGGATCTCAATTCAGTCGGGAGAGTTGTTTGGGCAAACTTCTCTCTAAAGCATTTACAAGTACAATTTAATCCTTCTCTCTTAAGCATCGCACAGCTTAATCCTGCTTCTGCAAATCAAATCCACCGGAGATCATCTCCAACGAGTTCTTTAGCAGGAGTGCGGAGATCGATTTAAACCAGCGAACTCCGCGCTTCCCAATCTACTCTTCGGCAGAGGAAGCAGCTAGATCTCTGCTCCGCGGGCACCATCACTCACGACCAGATCCGAGAAAAAAGCATACAAGGGGAAAATTGAAAGCCTTAAGCAGACGGCAAACGCTCGGGAAACGTACGCCGGCAGAAGGAAAGTCAATGATCGCCCGAGAAGAGAAGACACGAGACGAGGAGAGAAGAAAAGGGGCGAGCTGCGTGCGCAGGAACGAGGGCTCTCGGAGAGACGAGGAGACAAAACGAAACACGAGGCGTCGCCGAGTAGTTGCAATCTAGAGCATCAAGATCCTCGAGTAATGACAGACGCCTCTACCCAACCCAGCCCGCACCGAGCCAGCCCACGGAGTGCCAGAGCAGAGCAGAGACCCTGCACTGCACAGCACTCCACAGAGAAATGCAACGACCGACGACCGACCCACGGTCACCCACCGCGACTAAGCACTAGCGTTCGGAGCGAGGCGTGATTCCCTCGCTCGCTCCCTCCCTCCCAAGCATCCGTGGAAACAGAGCAGCAGCTGCTCACACACACACAAGCACGGACACAGAGACGATACTGGCACTGGTCTTCCGTCTCGGGGAAAAAGTACAGCCACAGTCGTCGGCCGGACTAAGAGCAGAGCAGAGCACGGCAGACGAGAACAGAGAAACAGCCACGTGGAGGTGGCGAGGCCCCCCTCCCTCCTCCAGAGGTCGACGGAATCGTCGAGAGTCCGGGCTCCCCGGCAAGGAAAGGGAAGGGAAGGGGCGAAGAAGACGAAGGGCGAAGGCAATCGAGCGATCGGGGAGGAAAAGGAAGGGAAGCGAAGGCTACAGGGCGCGCGGGCCAGGCAGGCAGGCGAGTCAATCAATGGCGCGCCTCCGCCTCTGGCTGTGCATGGCTCGCACTCACGCTCCCGCTTGCTTGCGGCCCTGCTTGCCTCGGGCGCCATGCTAGGCCTAGCGCAGCGCAGCGCGTCAATAAAGTGGCCGCGCTGAGTCACCAAAGATCACCGGAGTATAGCACAGGATCTAAAACCTTGTATTAAAGTCAAAATGTCAACAAGGTAAAACCAATGGGCTCCCCGCCGTCGTTTAATGGCAAGATGTGTAAAGCACAAAAATATGTGGTTCGCCTCTCTTTGAAAAATAATAATTATATTTGGGAGAGGCAGGATTCGAACCTACGTAGGAAAACTTCAGCAGATTTACCGTATGTAGCTTTTGACCACTCGACCACTCTCCCTATAACAAGTAACCTTCTACTTTCCGGTCTCACGGGACTATGGTGAAAAACAGGTCAATCCACAACAATCCTACGCCTTTCGAATTGTTCCTTTATTTCCATGCGCCTCACGAACCTGCCCAAGTTCGTAGAAATAATGTCTAGGGGTACCAATAGTAGTTCAAGGAAATTACTAGTTTGTCAACACAAAGATAACTGCACAATACATTGTGGTGTACTGTATTCTAAATTATTTGAATCAACTTTGGGTCTTGACCACCCTAATTTGACAAATAATTCATTATTAAAAAACACATACACCAGGGTTTTTGCGATGGTGTTCATTGCTTCCCATCGCAAGAAAGATGTATTATTTCAGGCACATAGTGCTATGGGAGAGAGCATCCATTGTGCGGAAATACCACTTGATGGAAAGAACCTAGCAATAGGAAAGCACCGGATAACAAGCAGTAGGGAAAGAGCCTATTACTTGTTTACTCCCTGGTTCCTGTTTGGCAAGTTTCACTTTGACGAGTCTATCAGCCCATCTTCCAAAGATCGCGTAATAGCGCTCGAAAGAGAGAGAATGTGCGTTTGATAGACCTTCCGGGTTTGAAAAAGCTCCGAAGAAAGTCAGGTTAGATGGGCCTTTATCTTGTACGGTTCATATTTTCATTCCCCGAAACACGTTAATAGAACAGAAAATACAATTAGTTCTTTTTACCTGTACCTGCATACTATACAATCAACATCCTTGATATTCATACGTCTAAGATAAGAGGTGGTGTTGAGTTGGACCTTTTTTTGTTCGAAAGGCAGTTTGTACTCGAACGGAGTATACCCTTGGCCGATGGTCAATATATTCACAGGCTTTTCAGAAACACATCCTTTTTCCGTTGTCACCATAAGCCTATCCGCCATAGGGGAAACAACTTCTGTTAGTGAACCAGCCGCCAGAGTAAACTGGGCCCTTGGAAAAAAAGTCGCTCCCAAGCGATGGTCGAAAGACTTTCATTCCGGTGAGCTTTTTTTTAAAACACCATTGCAAATTTGCTTACTTGAGGTGCATGACCAAGCCAAAGGAGATAGTTGTGAAGACTAAACACGATTACTGGACTGTTGGACAAATCCACCGAGTCCTCCATTGCCGCGGGGCAGAAATACAGACTAAGCAGAATTTACTGTCTTTCGGACCGTCAAGTACTTCAGTACTATCAGCATAGATGGTCCTGCCTACACACCTTATCACACAAGATTAAAGCCAAGGGCGTGGGTAAAGTCATAGACATATATTCCTACGAGCTGCGGGTGGAAACGGCGAAGAGCCCTAGGGTATGTGGTTCCGCGCGTGCTACTATTTCTCCACTGATTTCCAATACTAATCGTAAAACACCATGAGCAGCAAGATGTTGAGGTCCGAAATGAAAAGTAAAATTCTTCTCTTGGAGTTATACCATTGACTAATATTACTCAGTATTCCTAATCCGGGTTTATTTGCTTCGCTTTTGAGGTTAGGAATCGTGGTTAATCCTTCATCAGTAATAGATTGGCGAGTGTGAAGTGCTTTATTAATGACCTGAGGTAGAGCACTCAATGGGCTAGGGTGGCCCAAAGCTTGAAAATTGAGTTTGTATAGACAGACTTTGGGCGCTAAGGTCCAAAGCTATTTCGCACGGTTCAGAGGTCAATTCAGTAAGCCTTACAAGGGCTGAAGTTTTGACCCCTATTCCTATGATGCTAGAAGTCATTTTGATATACTACTTTATCTTGTTTCTATTTTATTTATTATATTTGATTTGGAAGTCACCTTTTTATTTACCTTGGGCAGTTTCTCTGAACAAGATCAGCTGTGGTAGAGGCGAGTCTTATGAAGAAAAAAGTGGTTTTCAAATTGATGCGGCGGTCCCGGCTCACTCTAAGGCATTTCACTTACCGGTTCGGCAACAGAGACCATAGCATGTGAAAAAAGCTCCGGGATTTCCCTCATACTCAAAGGGATGACCGAATAGCAAAAGGCGAGCCTGTTCCTGTGGTTGAAGATGCGGATCCGTACTGCTAAACATTGCTCCACTGTCTAAGAAGATGCAAAGGTCAAATACCCCTTGTTTTTTTCAGCTCTTTTATGCGTGTGCGGCGAGGAAGACTTCTTCCCAAAAAAGCAAACATCACAAAAAAGTATCAACTACAATTGAAAAAAACTCAGGACCCGGTCCATTTTTCCATTTCGTACGCACTCCTTATCCTTGATTAGTTATGTTTTGGGTCTTTAGCCCAAGCCTATGAATAAACTACTTCGAAAGGAAATACTTAATAGCATTATTACTTCGGATGTTCTTGAAGTTTTAAGAAAAGTTGCAACCTGCCAAGAATATCACGCATCAATGAATCTTAAACTACATTGTGCGGTGAGTTGGAATAAAGGCAATGCATGGCCCGCAACCCAAACCAAAATCCAATCGAGGCCGTATAGGGTTGTATTAAACAAGTACTTTTATCGCGCAAGACCTGTCGGCCTAGCGCTAAACCAAGCTCGAACCCTCACTCACTTAGAGCTAATAAGCTTCACCCTAGTATCCGCGATTCTCTGATTACTGAACATCCTATCGTATAGGGTTGTATTAAACAAGTACTTTTATCGCGCAAGACCTGTCGGCCTAGCGCTAAACCAAGCTCGAACCCTCACTCACTTAGAGCTAATAAGCTTCACCCTAGTATCCGCGATTCTCTGATTACTGAACATCCTATCCTGATTGTTATTCATCTGAAGAAACTATAACACTGTATCTTCCAATGCGAGAACAACCTGGAGTAGAATGAAAACTAATAAACCCTAACCGAGTGATAACTTCCCTTTCTGGATTGAGCGCGTATAATAGAGAATTTTGATTGATGGGAACCATCAGAACTGTTGACTCCTTGATGGTACCCAATATGTTCCATTGTACACGGCGGGTCATCGTCAATTATGTTCTTGTAACTATTTTGATTCCAATTCAATGGAAAAATAATAATTCTTTCCGAATTTAAATTAGTAAGATTTCCCATGGTTTCCAATCTTCATCGTGCAAGAGCCCACTCTCTCACTTCCCAAAATGATTTTCCAATTATAATGTACGGGCATAATCTATTTACTCTTTACTTTTTTTTCTAAAATTCTTGGTCGAAGTCACGTATGCATAATTTGGTCAGTGAAATGCCTGCGGGGAAAAATCACTTTTCAACAAAGAGCTGAAATGTTTTTCCTAACCCGGATCAAGAACAAGAACAAGAACTCGCAGTATAACATCGGTGACGGTGGATTGAACTGCCGTCTCCGTATAATATCATCACTCGTTCTCTGTCTTGCTTCTTAGTAGAATCATGTCCAATATTCCGGCGGGCAGTTGCCTACCCTTCTCCCGGGTTTGACACCCCCCACTAAGATACTGGAGGCTTCCCAAAAGATGAGGATTGTCCGTAAAAAAGGGATGAATTTCATAAACTTGCTGAAGCCAAATGTAGTTTCTCTCAATATAGATGTGGTAAACTATCTACTTGTCAATTATAGAAAACTCACCACGAGCAATTGAAAATATTTTTTAACATATAAAAATATCATGATGAAATTTTCAATTTATTATTATTATTTTTAGCTGTCATTGTAATACAAAGAGATCTACGATGTTTCTTAGTGTAATTACACAATCCAATATACTGTATGTTCTTTTGATTTCCCCTTTCAGCTTCTTCATGATGGATTTCGTGTAATGTCTTATTTTCACCAGATTGGGATAAATATTCATAGATTAGGGTAACTATACTCTTAGCACTATCAAGTCTTAGGACCAAACCACACGACCGGCAGCAGCAGGCATCAACCTCCTGGTTATAAGAAAACCAAGTTCTTGTAGATCTCAGTTGGCCAGTTGGAGACAATTCCATAACCTCTACCACACTACAGGTAATGCCTTTGGAGGGAAAAGTGAAAAATGTCTCTATTAATTGCAACGCACCGGTAAAAAGTCATTGGAGTAGTAACCCAAGATGGCACGAAAGTACACGTGGAGTGGATATACTCCGGAAAAATCAGATTTCCCTAGGAAATCCTTGGTAGTTTGGAGAAGTCGATTTCTATATATCAAATTGATATATTCTGATATATCAAATTGATATATTCTAATATATCAAATTGCCGTTCATTCCCGTGTGATAAATGGGGTAACTGGGTGCCAACAATAGACGAGGATTCACTGC